TTAGGGCTTATGTTTTAGGGTTGAGGGTTTGGGGGTTTAGGCTTTTAGGGTTTAGGGCTTTAGGGCTGAGGTCTTTGGGGTTCAGGGTTTAGGGCTCATCCTTGCGTAACGTTTCTGCTTAGCCAAAACGTCTTGAGCCCGGAAGTTGTGCGGGGAGCGAAGCTCTGATCTTCCTCCTGCGACATTCCCGTTCCTTACCTGAGGGTTTAGGGTTTAGGGTCTAGGGTTTAGGGTTGAGGGTTTAGGGTTTAGGGTTTAGTGAGGTGTGTGGAGCTTTCGAGCAGCCAAAACCCGAAGTGAAAATCTGCGCACTCCCTGAGCCCTACAAAGCCTCAAGCCCGAGCCTTATCACAACCCGCATCAGCTGCTACGGCACCTGCAGCCGAGTCCCTACACGCAGGACCCCGAATCGTAATTCTGAAGCCGTCTTCACAACCCAACCCCGGACACCTTAAAGGCTCTCCACTCCGTAACATGGAGCCGGATGAATGCATGGCGAAGACCCCAGGTATCAAGCCTTGGTCGCGAAACCTTACAGGCCTTGACACCCAACCCCTCGTTCCCAAGCATCCTCTTAGAGCTTTAAAGCCCCCAAAGCCCCTCACCCTAAAGCCACCAAGCCCGACACCTAAACCACACCTTGAACCCCTTTGGCCCAAAAGACACTCTCTGTCGTCGTTTGTTATTTTTGTTAAGCCCCCCAAGCCCTAAACCCCAAACCCCCAAACGCCAATTCTAAACCCCTCAACACCTAAACCCCTAAACCCTGAAGCCCTTTAAACCCTTGTAGAACCCTTGTAGATCCCCTTCAAGGAGCCCTTCTTAAGGAACCATAGTATACCATACTATACCATAACTGTACTATGCTATAACTATAATATAGTATACTACACCCCCTAAACCCTAAGCCCTAAACCCCTCAGCCCTAAAACCCCTCTAACCCAAAACAAAACCCTAATACCCCTAACACCTTAAGACCCGTAAACCCTAAACCCCCCATGCCGTCCTAAACCTTTGAAAGGAGTCCTCCTGCCTTTACACAGCTGCTGGAGCCATTCGTGGACCAGCTGTGGGCAGGCGGGCCGAGACGTAATGTAGACCCCTCATAAATCAACCTCCTCGAATTCACGGCCTTAACATCAGGATCCGTGTTCGAATCCTCGTTCAGGGAGGAAGGTTTACGAATCAGTTCCTGTGGAAGTGGTCCGCCGCGTCTGTACCAGGCTCGGTGGCCGTGCTTCCACAGCTGCCTTCTCTACCGAGGAGAGGAGGCCTGAAGAGGGCAGAAAAGTAGTTCGTGGTCACTGAAACTTCATCACCCAGCCTTCTGCAAGTTCCAGCTTGCATGGGCGCAACCACTGTTCTGCCGTGCTTCTGGCTCTGGCGACTGCTCGGCGTCTAGATCCCCTAGTCCCCGAACTGCATGCATGTAAGCAGATACACGTCAGAAAGCTGGCAAGACGAGGGAGGGGTCATGATGGCCAGACGCGTCAGCAGCCAGAAAAGCGAGGTCGGACATCTGCCCCACGCGGGGTTTGCGCGCTCGAGCAGCCGGCTGGTCACCAATCTTGATCCTACACTACTGAGAAGTGTGTCTTTAAGCGAGTGTGTGCGCGGCTTTGGACAGTACCTGGATTCGACTCGCTCTGTCGACAAACGGCTGAGTCGACCTAGCGAGAAGTTCGATGCCTTCATCAGTCATG